TTTTTTGGCGTAATTTGATATAAACCTTAATAAAACAAAAACCAAGACGTAATTTGAGAAACGCTCACACGATTTTCCTATTCATGAGTTGCATGTGCTTCTGGGAAATTTTCATAACATTTTACCGTAATCGCGAGGAACTGGACTCTTTTAAACTTCGCTACCCCGAGAAAAACACTAAACGAGATATCAAGCAATGAAGTTGTGTAAACATAGAATCATCATCTTTCATCGCGGTCAAGAAAGGTCAACCAACTGGCCAATTAGAAACGCGGCTCACCTGGTGTGACTGGAAATGTTCTTTATTTCGCGGCATATATGATATGATAACCTTAACCAGAAGCCCTAGCCATTGTTTTAGGCTTTTACTCGACACGCACCGCAACACAAATTCAAAAACTTACTAGAGAAAGTAATTAATTCAAAATATCAAACACACATCAAAGCATTTGCCAAATTGAAATTACCTTACAACCTAAMATTGTGATCAACCATATATATAGTAATGTGGAAATTTTACAGGAATTCCTATATTATCGGAACTGTTTTAAGACAATACCAACAACGGATAAAAAAGCCAGGCAAAAATGCTGTTATAATCATGTTGAAGGAGTAGTTCGCAAGTTCTTTMACGAATACGAAAGTCGACTCCCAAAACAAGGGATTCATAAAATGAAAGGAAAATGTATTGAATAATAACACATTAGAATCGAATAAAATATGAAAATAAGACCAGGTCAAAGGTTGAAATGATAACCGTCAGCAACTTACTATTATCATACTATATATCTATACTATACATTCACGACATCGCCCTTAATAAAATACATTTACATACCTGATACCTGTTTACTGTAAGTTGAAACTCCCTTAGCAAGGTTGATCGAAAAGAAGAGGGTTTCACTAAAGACTGAGATGTAGTAACTAGCCAGACGGCACCAGAGAGACACAAAGAGCAGTTGCAATGTTAACAACAATATGCCCTTTGTCATTTGCATAAAATTAGTTAAAGATTTCAATAGATCAAGTAGATCAATTAACACTTTTGATTTACTAAGAACAGGTCAAACAGTTTGTGGACCTCGAGACCGCTGGTGTTTTCCGAAGGGGAAGAATTAGTTTTATGTAGTTTCTATTGGAGGGCCAGGAATACCGTCAAAAGAGTCGTAGCCTGCGAAAGAGACTATCCGGAATACAGTAATAATCCGCATATAAGTATCTTGTTGTTTTGTATTTTGTGAATAATGTCAATAATCGCACGTTCGGTATTGTGTTTTTTGCGGAAACTATATTGTGAATCACAGCATAGTACATCATATTTTTCAAAGAACTTTG